CTACCCTTGTCAGCTTGACTGTTAATTTGCTGGGTGGGTGTCTGGCTCCCACAAGAGACTGTCAACTATCACAATAGAGAGGTAGCGTTTTGTGGAATACACCTGGGAGAAAGGTAAATTTGCTCAAAGAGTTCCAAAACATTCAGAAAAGATGTGACCTTTTTATCTGGAACCAGACAGATGAGTAGTGGTTTGTTATGGGAAGGAAGGAGTGAGGGGCATTCCAGGTAGATTAAAGGCATGGTGTATTTGTCAGTTCATTAACTAATGTTTATGGGGTCCTACCACATGCCAGCCACATTGCTAGTGCTAGGAGAAGTCAGAAGGTTGATTTGGCTGGAACATGGCGCATGTAGGGCAGGAGGTGACTGGGGTGAGAATGGGGAGATGAGCTGTCACCACAGGTAAAGGACATTCCGGAACTAGGTAAGGAGCTAGCCCTTTATCCTGGAAGTCAGGAGGCCTTGGAAGGGCTTTAAGCAGGTAAACGTCTAAGTCAAATTGGTTCTAACTAAGGAAGATCTCTATGAAAGTGTGCAGAATGATTCATAGGGTATACACAATGTGCAGACGGCAATCCATAATGTGCTACCTTTTGTGTAAGAAAGAAGGGAAAATAAGACATCCTCCATGTGTTTTCTCACTTGTGCAAAAATAAACCCAGAAAAGATAAACTTGAAACTATAAGGGGTGGGTGCGAATAAAATGGAAAGGAGGGCGTGGGAACAGAGTGAGAGGAATAGGGGAAAGTGATGTTTCTTTAAGTATATCTTTTTATATAGTTCTGACTTTTGGAACCATACTAAAAAAGAATCAAATGGAATGGAGAAACACCCTAAGAAGAAAGACAAACAGAAACAAATGGGAGTGGGAAAGGACTAAGCTAAGTCACTTTTGAAAGTACTATTTTGAGGATATGCCATTGGCAAAAACAGTAGAACTGTAAACAAGTCTTGAACTCTATTTTATTTTTCACAGAGGTGTGGACTAGCAACTTTGAAACTACCTTCTGTGTATTGAGCAAATAAGTATATTGTAGACAATGTAAACAAAATTTGTTAGAGAAGAAAGTTTAAAAATAGGGAATGAAGGGAAGGTTACAATTGACATGGTAGTGATGGACTGGAGTTGGAGGTGAGTATGAACTCAGGGTTTTTTAACATAGATGGACAGACGGAAATAAGGGCTGTGGGTGAATAGACATGCATGCATTTTCTAGCTCTGTCCCTGAGAGGGCCTAGAAGCAATGACACCCTGTAGCAATGCACACACCTAGCATCCAAGCCTTTGGTTTCAAACACCATTCTCCCCTGAAAGGAATCAGGGTTTCTTGGATAACTGAGCTGAGGAAGTATAAGATGACCCTGAAATATCTTATAGTGTCAGAAAATAAGGACGTGCTCCAAGAACAATGGGGATGTATCTACAAAACAAAGAACCACCTTGAATGAGCTTCCGCTGAGCAAACCTGGGACAATTTGAGAATCAAAGATAGCAACAGATTGTAACCCAGCGAATAAAATAAGAATCCATGAATATAAATAAATATATATTATATATAAATATCATATACTTTTATATTTATTTATAATTATATACATTTATTTTTTATATTTATAGTTTTTATTTCTTATATTTTATATTTATTTATAGTATATATGGTATTTATCATATATATAATGATATAAATAAATTAAGAAAGGAAAACTCTTTCTTACAATCGACTCCCAACTAATAAATGTAGAAGGAATAATGAAATTAAAAAATCACTATCATGGTAATAATGAATCCAGGCAAGAATCATCAGTGAATGCTAACACTAGTGGCTAAAAGTTTGATGTGTGACTACAAAATTACAATAACCTGGAGCACGATAAGATCGAGTTCAGAAACCCATGGCACAGCACTAGGGACTTTTCACCCAATTACTGTCAGTGAGCTGGTTGTTTAAGCCATGTTGCTAAGTGTTGTATTTGCAATAGGATGATAACAATAATTGAGTGTTCACTATGTGATAAGCATTGCACTAGGTGGAGATTTGGGGGAGGGTTGGGCTTTTGCATATGTTAACTCACTTAATCCTAACACCAACCCAGTAAGCTTTGGCATTAGTAGCCTCATTTTTTTAGATGAATGAACCAAAGTTCAAGAAATGAAAAATTTTTCTGGGGTAAAATAGCTAAGAAAAGTCAGAACCCAGATTCAAGTTCCTGCCTTGTGGTTTTGAGTTCAGAGTTGTTCTATCATGCAGTGTGTCTCTGGATGCTCTTAGATCTCTGCGCTTTGAAAGTGTGCAGAATGATTAGGCCACAGAGGCATTCATAAACAAAAGGATTGGTGGCTGCTTTCTCCTCACCCTATTCACTAAACACCCAGCCTCATTTTCCTCATCTGCAGAATAGAGACAGCTATACTTAATTTACATGTTGTGGTGGGGACTAAATTCAATAACGTATGTAAAGCATATATATATATAGCACGGTGTGAAATAAGTGTCCATTAAATGGCAGCAGCAGCAATGAGTAATAGTGGTTGTAATGTCGAATTCCCCGATATGATGAAAAATGTTTCTAAAGGGCACCCTTCACTTTTGAACTAAATTGATAATCAAAAGCCAGACCAAAAAGAACTCTGTGTATCATGAAAAGAAAATTACATCTTATTCTATAGGCAATAGAAGTCACTGAAGAATTTTATTACAGAGACAGATGTGATCTGGTTGGCAATTTAGAGCGCAGACCTAGGTGAAGAGAGCAGCACCCAAGGCAGGGAGACCAGCAGGAGGCTGCAGTCAAATACCAAGCAGGAGACAATGAAGTTCTGCGTTAATGGAAAGGCTGGCGTGATAAAGAGGAAGGAGCACACAAAGACCAAACTTCAGGATTGGTGCCTGATTTGGCAGGGGAGGAAGGGGGAGGAGTTTATCTGAGCCTTGGCCTCTGGCCTGGGCACTGGCCCTCTCAGATATGAGCAGAATGCAGCAGAGGAGTGGCTGATTGCAGATCTGGGATGGTTTGGGACATGCAAGGGAGCACAGTAGGTAGTTGAATATTCAGATCTGGATTAAGGCTTCTGAATATCTGGAGAGGAAAGGCTCAAAGGAAAAGATGCTAAGTGTTTGTTCTGAATATCCGGATCTTCAGATGCAGGAGAGAGCTCAGGGCTGGAGCAGCAGGCCTGGGGTCACTGAAGCCGTGGAAGTGGATGGGGTCCCTCAGGGAAGGGATGTAGAGTAAGGAGATGGCTCAGGATAGGATTTAGGAAACACCAGTTTTTAAAGATGGCAAAAGAAGAGGCTGAAGGAGACTGAAGAGGAACACTCAGATAAGAGAGTTCGAAGGTGGGAGTTTTCTGCCACATCAAAGGCTGCAGAGAGAACAAACGCAGCAAAGAAGGACTGAAAGGTGCCTGTTGTATTTGGCAACTAGGTCACTGGTGACCTTGACAGCAGTAGGAGCTGAGAAGCAGTCTAGGTGGCCAGATGAAGAAGAGAGTTGGACTTTTAAGAAGAGAAACTAGAACTTGACTGTTCCCAGGATGCAGGTATCCCACTCCCTTGCCATGCATTCCCACCTGCTGTGGGAGAGCTCCAGCTGGTGGAAGATCTTCCTTCCAGAGCTGGAGTCTCTCTCCTTCCAGCATCTTCCTCCAGCTCTAATTCAGTCCTCCAGGGCCACACCTGGTCTACACGCTCCTCCAGAGATTGTCCAAATATGCCTCCCACTGGTCATCTTACCCAGCATTGCCATGTGCTCTGGGCTCCCCACACTTGCCTTAAAGTCAGTCCCCAGGGTGGATCCCGTTTTAGTGAAACTGGAATTGCGCTTTGGTAACATTGGAGCCTGTGTTTTGATTGGTCTTTATTTCTCCTGCTATTAGGCTGATGGCTTCCCAGCCATTTTTTAACCTCAACCCAGAATAAGAAATACACTTCACAGGGTGATCAGTATTCGTATATATGTATAACTGAAAGAAAAGTCTCATGACGTAATACTTACCCTAACTATGGCAGCTAGATGCACTCTAATATTTTCAACTCCAATCCATTTTATTTTGTTCTAGTTCATATTTTTAAATGCTGATCCTGACCCATGACATTAATTTCACAACCCACAAAACTGATTTAACGACCAAGGGTATGAAATACTCCGAGCTAGGAGAGGCTCAAAGGGAAAGACGCTAAGTGTTTCCCTGAACCCGTCCCCTTCCCCTCCCTGTCACCTCCTTTTTATGGCTCTGAGAGCCGGAGAGCTGCTTCAGTCACTAGATGTTACCCAGCCTTGGGAGTATTTGAACCTCCAAAGTGGCTCACCAGAGGCAGGTAAGCAGCTATCGCGGTGGAATTTAGAAATTAATGGAAGGGAGAATGGCTCACCTTTCAAATCACCCCACACAGGCTACTGTCCCTGTAATTACTCATGAAGCATCCAACAGCCTAAGGCATTTTCAAGCCACGAGGATGCCCCTAGGTAGCCCTAATAGCACCTCACATGTGAGACATTTAACACTTCCCAGAGTTTAGGAGGGGCCCATCTGTTCATACAGGCCACAGTTTGCCACTCGGCTCCCACCTCCAGCCAGGCAACTGACTGACTCATGCTGGTCTGTTCTCCATGTGCTCTTCAGACCTCCCTGGGGGGAGATCCCTCTCTTACGAACCATTGAAACATTGTCCCCTGTCCAGCAAAAAACATTCGGAGTTTGTTTTTGTTTTAACATTCTCATTTACAATGTCTTTTCTGCTTCTACCTAGGAAAAGCCAGGATTTCTGAATTCGCCTTGACTACAGACAGGAGGATGTTGCCTGAGAAATAGCAGAGGTCTTTTCTCATCTGCTGAGAGGTGTCCACTGCTGCCATAGACATTGAGTCCTCCGAGAAGCCTCCTGAAGGGCTTATCCATTACGCACATGCAAAAGCCAAGCCCTGGGCTGGGCCACAGCTCTCCCCTGGTGACACCGCTCCATCCCTGGCCTCCAGGCACACGTACCCGGTTTAAAGATGAGTGAAGAACTGTGGGTCGCCCTCACCCCGGAAGAATTTGACCAGCTCCAGAAATATTCAGAATGTGAGTAAATAGATTGACAGATCTGGGATGGGATTTCTTCTTTGCTGGAGAGGTCATTTCTGGAGAGCAGAGTGGTATTATCGTTGCGAAGCCACAGAGAATGTGGTCGGGCCTGGCAACTTATATTTCCTTATAAACACAGAATGTTAAAAGATAAAAACACAAGTATCTCTAGGCTCTATAAATAATACATGCTCACCATAGAAATTTGGAATTACATGGAAGCAAACAGAGTAAGTTAGAAATCACCAATACACTCCATGAACATTTTGGAACGCTCCCCTCCTGTGCATATTGCTTTACATGGTTAAGTTCACTCTGTATATACCTTTTCTTAAGCCTGCATTTTCCACATAACATAATATCATAAGTATTTTCTCAGGTCATTAAGACCTCTTTAGACTATAATCTTGAAGGGCTAAAGGCTGCATGGTTACAATGTTACCCAATCATTTTCTTTAATATACTCTTGCATTTGGAAGAGTGTATTTATTTTTCAAAAGCCTGCTTTCAGTAAGATAATGAATCCCAACATGTGTTTCTGCACCTCATTCTGGAAAGGCCTAGGCTTTTGCTTGGGGCTCTGGGTTTCCCATTAGTTGGGCCAGGAACCATTTCAGTGCCAGACGTGGTGGTGGTGAGGTCCACATTCACACGCAGACACACAGCTGTGCCCCTCAGGCCACTCCTCACACTGACGGGTGACAGGAATCTGCTCAGGCTGTGGCAGAACACTGCACTCTGCACACACAGAGGCCCACGTGTGGTGCCAACTTTCTACAGAGCCCTTCGCCTCTGCCCCAGCCCTGGCTCAATGGCCTCTTCCTTCCTGTCCATTGTGCTGGTACTTCTGTAAATCACTAGGCCTGGAGCGTGCTGACCTGCCCTACAGTGCCAGGACAGGTGCCCCTCTAGGTGCACTTTGGCAACCCCTCCCTGCTTCCCACAGGGCAGCAGCCCTTGTCCCAGCACTGGTCGAGGAGTCAGGGCATCCTGCTCAAGTGCCAGCTGTGCCCCTGCTCTCTGTGATGTGACAGCCCTTACGCCCCTGAGCCTCAGCGTCCTCTTCCGTACAGCAAGAGGGTTGGACTAGGTGCTCTCTCCCTGTAGTCCCTTCCAGGCCTAAGGCCCCCGTGCCTCCATATGCTCCCAAGGTCCATAGGAGCTCCACAGGGTTATTGGCCAGTGTCCCTCCTGGTGCCCTGGGGCCTATGGTCTCTTGTCTGGCCACAGTGGGTTTAGAGCAATTCTAATATATTGACGAGGAGCAAGGAATCACTCTCCGGGGTAAATTCAATTTAATCCAGCCTGCTCTGTAGGTCAGCAAAGTACCAGGCCCTGTCAGGGATGAAAAGAAGCAGAAAGAAGGGGCCTACCCTCAAGGAGCCAGACTCTCGCTGAGAGTCAGCAGTGCACTGCGACACCAGCAGGGAATGGCTGCAAGGCGGCCAGCAGCTCCGGTGGAGCTGGCTAAACCACACGAAGCCAGTAAATGAGAAGGGAATTGGAAACCAAAGGAAACTGGTGCAGGAGGGTGTGTTTTACTTTGCTAGGCTGCAAGCAAAGTACCACCGCGTGGGTGGATTGAAGAACAAATTTATTGTCTCAAAGTTCTGGAGATTAGAAGTGCAAAATCAAGTAGTCAGCAGGGGTTATTTCCTTCCGAGAGCTGTGAGGAAAGAATCTGTTCCAGGCCCATCTCCTGGGCTTGTGGCTGGCCGTATTCTCCTGGTGTGCCTGTCTCTGTGTCCAGATTTCCCCGTGTTATAAGGACACAGTCTTATCGGATTGGACCTACCCTCCTCCAGTATGACCTCATCTTAACTAACTACACCTGCAACAACCCAAATAAGGTTACATCTGGAATTAGTAGGAGTGAGGATGTAAAACATATGAATCAGGGGGAGAGGAACACAATTGAACCCATAATGGGATTTAGCTAGGTGAACTCTATGGAGGAAAGAAGTTGAAGATGTGGGCAGTAGATGGGAGAGGGAACAGTGGAAGCAAGGGAGAGCATGTGCAGGGGTGGTAAGCCGAGCTTCTAGGCTAGGCAGAGGGCAGGAGCAGAGGATGGGGAGGAGGACGTAAGGAGGGATGGGGAGAGCAGAGGAGGCCTTGGGATCTGCATGTCAAGGTGTGGGCAGCATTTAGAGCCACGAATCTGGAGGCTGTGGGCAGGGTGGCTCGGATCAGGTAGCTACTGGGTCAGGGATTCAGGCAGGATCCTTTGGATAAAATCTAGTCTGAGCTGAGGAACAAAGATAAGATGGTGAGTGTGACAACGAACAAATACTAATTTGTGGAAAATTGCGGAAATATTATCAAAACTTATAGAAAAAAGAAAGATACCTCACACAAACTGGCTCTGTAGAAAACGGCAACATTAGGATGTAGGGCTGGTGGGGACAGTTTGGGAATGTTGATTTTGAGATGTTGACGACATGTCCATACATGCTTTCATATGTGCCAGGCTGCAGGGAACCAGCAATGAACGAGACACAGTTCCTGCCCTCAAAAGCTCACAGCCTCGCAGGAGACAGACAGGACTCAAACCAGGATGTCACAGGGTAGCAGGGGCTCAGGCGTGTGCAGCATGGGGGAAGGATGTCCAGCCCAGCCTAGTGGGGTCTTCCTGGTGCAAGGGTCGTTTCCAGACTGAAGGAACATGAGGAGGAGGGAGGGGGAAGGGCATTCTAGGCAGAGGAAGTGGCTCAGGCAACGACAGGGAGGTGAGGACAGCAGCTCACAGGCTGGGAGCCTAGATCACATGTTGGTGCTGGTGTGGGGAGAATTGGGGAAAGAACCAGAGAGGTAAGTGGGACCCCATCATGGAGGATCCTGCTCTCTAAGTGACATGTCATGTAGGCCCCAGGAGGGTGCGTGATGGGATGTGAGTGGGAACGAGGGGTCAGGCTATGGCTCTGACTTGGGAATCGTGTGTGGAGACAGCAAGGAGAGAAAAAAAGAAGAAGAATGAAAGCACTTCCAAGAGCAAGAATGTTAGGGGAGAAAAGGAAAAGATGGAGAATGGGCCCAGGGTGTGCCTCAGCCAGGGGTCCAGGAAGAAGAGAGCCAGAAGAAGACATGGAAAGGAGAACCAGGAAGGCGACTAGGTAAAAGAGGGTCTGGATGGAGCGAGCTAAGGCAGGAGGAGGTCCAAATGTGGCAAAGCAGTTGAGCAAGCACAGATGAAAAGAAGCTAGAGCATTTAGTAGGAAGGGGTTCTTTTTGGTTTGGGCCTTTTCTTCAGCCATCGTCTTTGTCCTTCTCTGACAACTTCCTCATGTTGTCCATATCCCAGGACTGGACAAAGCTCTCTGCTACCACTGTTCTAACAGGAGAGGAAAAAAAGGTACAATTCTTAGAAAATGATTAATCTTTGGAGAAAACCCTGAAAAAGTCACTTCCACCAATTTTAGACGCATTCTGGTATTCAGTCGGATTGCATTGCCATAGCAACCACTCTCCGTAACCACATAAACAGGAGCTTTACAATAGCAAAATAATGAAGTGTACAGCCTGAGAACTGAGAACTTTCTCCAGTGGGGTTACCAGGCAGGAGAGGCTCGTGATGTTTTCCATTTATATAGCATAAAGCCTGCACCCTCTCTGGTGGCCTTCTATGGGCATGGGGGAGTCATCTTAAAACACTCTTGGAGATATGTATGTTTATTTTATATGTATACGTACATCATATATACACACACACAGACACACGTAGTTAACAGTAAGCTTAATGTGAATCAACAGTGTAAAGCACATATCAAAAAAATTAATGTGATATTAAGAAATTTTTATTATTAAAAAAACAAAGTAACAATTTTGAAAAACAAAAAGATAAAATTTAGTCTACCCATGATCCTATTTCCCCATGATAACCAGTACTAGCATGTTTGCATATAATTGTAAGTATAAATATAAATATCAAAACATACATATACACACACAGACACATCCATACATATGTAAAATAAACCTGGGAATACACACACTATACCATTTTGTATGCTGTTTTCTTCACCCTAGCAATATGTTTGAATTATCTACTGCTGCATCAAAACATCTTCAAAACCGTGAGTTAAAACAAGCACCGTTTTGTTTTTCCCATGATTCTATGGGCCAGGAACCTGGACAGGATCCAGCAGCCGTGGCCAGTCTGCTCCACAGTGCCTGGGCTTCAGGTGGGAGGCCTCAAACAATTCAGGAGTAGAGAGTCACACATGGTTTATTCACTTATGTGGTGGTTTCTCAGTGTTCCTCCGTGGAACCTCGTTCCTCAGCACTCTCTTATCTTCAGGAGCTCTCCGTGTGGCCCTCATTTTCAGCAGGGTAGCCTGGACATCCAGGCTCAGGACTCCAAGAGCATAAAAGCAGCAGCCGCCAGGTCTTTCAATGCCTGGGCTGAAATTCTAGAACAGAACTCCCTTCACGGTCCAGTGGTCAAAGCAGACACAGGCCCAGCTCGCATTCAGCGGGGTGGAGGAATGGACTCCACATCTCATAGAGGAGTGGCCCACACAGGGAGGGAAAGAATGGATGGTGGCCATCTTCGGAGACTGACGGGCACACAGCACATGATGAGGCATTCCCATGTCCGTCAATATGCTTTTGAAGCATGGTTGTTAGTGGTTGCAGAGATTGGATTTCTTTTGAATACATTTGCACTATTTCATTTAACCAAACCAGTGATTGCAGTCTTAGGATATATTAATAGATTCATAGTGTCTAGTTAGGCAAACTGATATTCATATTCTAGCCTACCCTGATCAGACCTCTCCAGAGAACTGAATTTATTTCTGGGTACAACAGTTTACAATGGATAGAGACAACCTGGAATTTGTTTGCGAAATGCCGCTGGCATGGTGAGTGCGGGGCCCCACAGGCTGATTATGGAGAAATGAAGATGTTGTGCATATTTACTAGGGAAAGGAAGGGAAAAGTGAGGGAGAGCGTGTTGTATTCAAATAGCTGACTGCTGTTGTGGAGAAGAGGTGTTA